GTCAGAGCTACAGCTTAGTAAACTGTGAGCCACTAATCTGAATAAAGAAATCAGACAGCATCAGGCTAAGGCAAGTAGTGAAGCCACCAGAGCTGCACGGCGACGACGGATAACTTATATTTTGAAAACGTGTACATACATACAGCGTGCTACCAAATGCCACGAACTCGTCTTGACTAACGCAGCTACGAAGAGGTGGTAGTGTATCACTATAGAGCATCAGATATGATGAGTTCATGATTAAAGCAAAACTTATTACAGAAACTACCAAAAAATGCTTCAATAAGTCTACGAGCGATGAGTCAATTCATTCGTACAATGTTCATATCGACAGGATAGGAATCTATCCGATCGAGTTTCGACCACCACTCTGATAAATGTCGCAAACGATAGAACAGAAGAAACCACGGAGAGAATGATGACGGCTCTAAAGCAGAAGAAAACCACGAAATGTTGAACAAGGTTAACGGTTCACTGAGTTAGAACAAATCACCAACCTTCCGCTACCCATTCCGCCAGTTCCTTCTCGTCAACTATTCTGACATCGCTTACTTCAGATGAATTCGGATTGAGTCGACTATGCGATAATCCACGCGTAATCACAACATAATCAAGTTCATGCTCTCCCCACAACGAGTCTTCCATAACAGCCTTAAAGCGGAATACTCAAAACAAATACTTTGCAAACTAGTCGCGAATCGCTGTTCTACCTTGTAAAGAAACCGTCCCATCACGCGACACTCTTCTGGCCTCAAATCGATCACACCCAGTTCATGCTCAACTTTCCTCACTGCCGCTGCGACAGCACCTGGACCACCATTGAGCTCGACATTAGTGAAAAGCGGATGGCTACAGCATGTGTTGGCCCATAATAAAGGAAATGTGATCTGAAACACAAAACGACAGGTTCAAATATAACGGGCTCCTCTAACTTTTTTTAGTGGTTCACGATCACCAGTTGTCAACGTCTAAATGACCTAGAGCAATGCGCAGATTATTACGATGTGACCAGGAACAGCACATGTGCACTGTGCATCCTCATGAGCCGAAGCTGTCTGTACAATTGGGAAAAGGTATGGTTCGCTAGAACAAAAAGCGACTTCTTCGCGTTTCGCAGTGCGAAACATTTCTCACTGCGGAACTTCAGGGGCGGTATTCAATCCTTCCCCCAGGGGGATATATCCCCCTCCTCTGATTCAATCCTCTGGGGGGACAAAAAAGGGTTGCGTCATAGGACCTAGCATACCTCTGTGTTTCTACCTGCCAGACAGTTAGAGCAGCGCTACTACCCTCCACTGATGAAGCACTCTTTCCCCTGAGGGGTCGCGCTGCTCTAACTGTCTGGCAGGTAGAAACACAGAGGTATGCGAGGTCCTATGACGCAACCCTTTTTGTCCCCCAGAGTTGGGGGATATATCCCCCTGGGGGAAGGATTGAATACCGCCCCAGGTCCACCGCTGTTTACGAGTAGACTCGAAGTTCCCGCGCGGAACACAGAAAATTGTTTTCTTTCCTAGCAAACCACATCTATAGGGAAGTTAAGAGATCGAACGAATTCTGTAGACCAGCGCGGGAAGTTCACGAAATTTTGAAGGTGATGATGACAGTCGCGAGGTGATGACTGCTAAGGAACTTCTGCAAAAGCATTGGAAGAGGAGAGAAAGAGGGGGTGTTACACATGGGACACAAAATCTTTTAAAAAGTGGGGAAATGATGGATTGATAATCGGATCTAACAACTTACTTTTTCCGCGCTTCTCTTTTGCAATATCAACTTCTTTTCGGGTGTGAAGGCGAAAAGACTGAAGGCTCGGTGAAGACCCACTAAATAGAAATGAGTAACATTACTAGACCAACAATCACTTCAGTTTTTTTTCTTTTTGAAGACAACTGTGAGCTAACGAAAACCTACATGTATCAGCTCGATGCGCATCCCCTTTTGCCACACCTCCGACAACGTTGTCATTTTCGTCCACAGCAATACATTGCTCTGACAAATATCCAACCTGCACAGGATCATATTTTTCCAGTAATGCTTCTCTTGATTGCAATCTGGAATAAGATAGGCAATAGATATCAATTCGCGGATACTCCAATTGTTCAGCTGCAACATTTGAGTAAGGATCGAACGAGTTCTTCATATGCGTGTCCATACTCAGAGAAGAAAACCATTACCATTACATCATGGGACTGCACTAATTTACATGCTCAGATCTGATCTGCTTGTTACGCACGAAATTATTGAGTTATACAAAGTGGCCCACACTCTCTAGGCCTGGAATGATGACAACCTTCGACCTAGATATACTCCGTACTCTGTTACAAAGCCTATGTTGACCAGAACTTTGTTCGTCGCATGGGTTCAAGGGATGCAGTCTATCGCACAGCATCATTGGACGAATGATGGGCGTGCGCATAGCCCGCGAGTCCATTGCAGTACGCCTACAGTCTGAGCAAGGATTGAGGGCATTTCAAGCAAGCTATAACGCAATCGCCAGGATTGTGCGATCATTAATGCAGCGATTGCCATGAGATCAGGGGCCGTAAAGTATGCTTCCCCGAGCGTGAGATAGACCCCTCCCTGATAAGTTATGCTCTCCCCGAAAACTTTCGGGGAAAGGCCACGCTCACCGGTTTTCGGGGATATCTCCCCGAAAACTTTCGGAGAAAAGTCACACCCACCGGCTTTCGGGGATATCTCCCCGATTGACATGCATCGGGGGATATTCCCGTGATTGACATGCAGTCCGGGAGACATCCCGAGAACCGGTGCATTGCCTTTCCCCGAGAGTTTTCGGGGAGAGCATACCTTACCAGGAGGGGTCTCTCTCCTGTTTGGGGAAGCATACCTTACGGCCCCAGTTCTTCAACTCATTTCTTCGATTCGCTTCTTCCGCTGCGTTTCGCATTTCATTCACACAGTACGACTTTGCCATTTGGGTACTTTTAAGTAACAATTTCACGCTCATACGTAGAAAACACTGAGACATTTCGCTGATGTAGAACTTCGAAACAGCAATCAGTGATGCAACAAATACTGTAGTATCCACCCATGGTGATCAATACGAAAAGTTGTGACATCAACTATATTACCATGAGCGGTCGGTTTTAGATTTCCAGAGGATATTAAGGTTTTAAGGGAGTGAATAATGGACTCGGGAGTTGTTATGAGGGAGGAGGGAGGAGGTCGCTCTGACGATTTTTCAAGACTCAAGCGGAATTTTTATAGAATTTTATGCAGAAAGCATGGGAAAGGCAAGCCGTTTCATTGGCCATACTTCTTCACCTCCCCCCCCCTCCCCGCAAATTTGTTGGTGACCCATCCGTCATAGCTGACCTTCACCGGGCAACGGTACTCAGATAGCTTCTTTCAACATACTATAAGTGATCAAAGTCGAGCTGAAAACAGCTACTCAGCCCGTCGGTAGCCACGAAAGCGTTGCCGCATAAGTCTCCACTTGTGCAATGATAGCTTCCGAACATGACGCATGTCACTTGTCTCACACAACGCATTGAATTAATGAAAAAGCATTTCGACTTGTTTGTATTTGTTAAATGGTTTTATGGTCTGGGGCGAAAGTTTTGTTCACAACCCAGCATTCCTATGAGACATTCGCCAGGCGAACTGCGGCAAACATAAAGTCAAAGTCAAAAAAGGTTACACAAAGCTGTTGCTGTCTAGCTAGGTTCCATGTAACTGTTCTGCGCTCAAAAATAGGTAACCTCCATCACCAACGTGTGCCAAAACGCTGTACCAGCCGCACTGGGAAGGAGTCACTAGGTTTGTACACGTGCGAATTCGCCTTGCAAAGGAGTTTGGAAACGCATCAGTAAGCGGATGTTGTAACCACCTCCTGGGGCGGTATCCTGTTCTTTCCCCTGGCTAGAGAAACAACCAATCCCCTTAATTTTCTTTGGCTTTCCTAAAAATCGCCCTAAGAAAGTGTATATATGTAATTTACACATGGGTGTAAAAGTAAGCGTGCGGAAAGTAAGAAAACTGTGTCGTTGAAAACGACGTATAAATTTAAATGGTTCTTTTGTTCCTCTAACCTAGGGGAAGATAGGATACGGCCCTACTGCATATCTACAAAGAACTCGGACTTTCTAAATGTGACGATGTACTGCTTTCGATTACGCTCTAGCCGATCGTCGTTATTACTGTGATGACCTCGCAAACACATCTTCCTCTATGTGACGAATGACTTACACTCCCTCACCCCTGAGTTGACCACATTCCCTTGTTTCAAAGATAATCGTTCCAGAAGCGTTTAAAACCGAGAACCTGACCTATATTCTACTCCAGTGTAGCAGCCGAAAAGGATTGCAAGTTATGGGATAATATAATCAAGACAGGCCTGCTCAGCAATAGAGTATGTAATACCACCACCAAAAAGACTCTCTGCAAGGCGACGCCACGTTGCACAACCCGCGCCCGTGCAGATTGTAACTTTGACCGACTCCACCATCACGCTAGAGTAAAGTTTCCCAGCGTGCCACTAGCAGATAATGTAGGGGTTCGGGTTGGTTGACTGAGTTAGAGTGATGAGGTGACAAATACTGATAACAGCCAACGTAAAATCACACCGCACTTGTTACTTCTACCGCTTCAACTTCAAAAAATTTCACTGAACACGGTGGGTTGAGAGATAAGAAATAAGTTGAAAATTATAAGGACCAATAAAAAGGGGTAGTCACCAAATTCTTCAATGCTCAGCGCAGTTTTGAGATAGCAAAGTTAGAAATATGAAGCACAGAAAAGCCCAAAGCACAGGAAGAAATAAAAAAAAAGGAGTGAAAGGAATAGAGAAGGACCGCAACGTTCGAACCGAGAAGAGGAGAAAAGAACCTGTAGAAAGGAGATAAATCAAAAATTTCAGGGCCAATAAATGCAGTGTCGAGCTCACCTTTTTGCTGACAACGAAAGCAGACGCCGAGCAATGGTATTCATCCTGACAACCAAAAGACGCTAGGAGGAACTAGCAATGTCCAGTGCTCCTGAAGAAACAGCACTGGTGCATTCGTCCAAAAAATTGAAGGCCGGCCCTTCACGCGTAACGCGGGCGTTGTTTTCACTATTGACAAAACAGTGAGCGCGTTACTTCTGGACAAAGTATTTACGTACAAATTTCAAAGCGATAAGTAGCAACCCATTATTACCCTCAACATCTTCCTAAGATATGTCGAGAAGACCACAATAATCAAAAATCGAGATCTATGATACGTTACATAAAACCCAGGCGAATAGCCAAAACTGGTTTTCGATTGTTCCACAGTTCACCATGCAATAGCTATTACAAGGATGTTGGCTATGAACAAAACTCTAAGCTGCTTAATCAAGGCTACTGAATTAAAGACCAATGTTGGGAAAAATGCACAACAAAACACACGAAATAGCAAAGCATCACTCAAGCTCGCCATGAAAAAACAAACCAGTAACATTTCAACCATTTATTCTCTCATTAAATCGAATAGGAACGTAATGCAAGTGAAAAAGCTGTACAATCACATCTCCTAGGTTGATATGAGCCCTCGTCGATGCGAAGTGACACACGATGGACTACAAAATTTCAACTCCATGTATTCGAAACCCGATCCTGTATACGCCACACCGCACTATAAAATTGTAACATCAAAAGCGAAATCATGTAAGCAATAAATTTGTATGATGCATACCATAAGTTAGAATTACAGCACCGCATTTCGCGCGCTCGTTTTTTTGTTCACGAGTACGGTTTTTGTTTCTCTGCTTGTACTTCAAAGCGTTCATAAACTTCTGAACGTCATGGCCACAACTCATAAAAGGACCATCCTCCCACAGCGCATCCAGAGAGCGGACAAAACCGATCCCATTATGTAGCTGAGAAATCTTTCTGTTACCAGGTCCATTAGTTGCTCGAGGGAAAATAATGGATGGATTTCCCAACAGGACGGCATTTTGCGCAGAGGACGAAAAGTTTAGGACTGGTGCCGCGGCGCTAGGCCAGGACAACTTCAATTTTTTTGCGCCTGTTCTCTAAACTTGACGTGTTGTGCATTCCATAAAGGTTTAGAGAAGGCCTCTCCCAAACAATGCGTCTGCACCAAAGAGCTCTAGCCTTTCTACTGGAAGCCTTGGAGAAGCATAACCCAGGACAACAGGCGCACAACACCAATATTATTCTAGCGACTGATAGAAATAATCACAGCGACGGGACACACCGAATTTCATTGTCTGTGATTCCTGAGTGTTTGAGTTAAGATTGCACACAACCAGCAGAACATAAATTTACTTTCAGTGAAGTTATACGATGGAAACCGGGGTGCAATATGCATGGCGCACCCTATGTATGGAAAGTCTATGCACAAAGATATTTAATTTACCTGTACACATCTCGGACCAGCTTCGAGTCGTGCTAGTCTTGCTTCAGCGGCAGCTGCACGCTTCTCCCGATCTGACATTGCTAAGAACGCAGCACGAGCGGCCTAAAGAACGAAACTCAGTATGACTAAATATTGCCCCCCCCCCTGGTCACGAAGACGGGATTTCCACGTCATCAAGCACTTTCAGAATGTCGTATTGTAGGAAGAATGCTCAAATCACGTACTAGTTCTTCAGCCTCTTTCTTTTCCATCTCCTTTTTCATCTTGATTTTTTCTTTTTGTTTTTGTTTCTTCTCTTTCCTCTTTTCATTCAGTTTAGCGACCTGCTCGTCGGTGAGTTGTATCGGCTCCGGAATATGACACCTGAATGCACTGTATTAACTGCTTACCAGACGTTCACACTACAGAGATGGAGGGAAAATGAGCTCATCTCTAAACTCCTTTCCAACCTGAGATACCATTCAAAAATTATTAGTGAAGTGTAATGTTTCCTACTAGCCCTCTCTGCAGTGTTGCTGTTTTCTCAATTGAAATTGAGCAACGAGATTAACTTGGCAGTATCCTATTTTGTCTTCTTATTCTTCAGCGTTTGTCCAACCCGGTGGCCGACCCGCTATCCTATTTTATACATGTATACATTTATTTAATTCTCGGCTTCATCTCTCTTATTCTCTTTTTGCCACGAAACTCGGTAGTACCTAAAGACTAGCTGGGAGGAACTGAATCAGAACATTGGTTAAGATGTATGGAGCATATATTGAGACAAGCTTTGTACCGCACGGTGATCAAGGCATTCAATGCAATTAGCGACTCCAACAGTTTGGATAACCATCAGCCCACAAACGGTGAAAAGGATTCGGTGTCTGATTCAAAGTGAACGGGATTTGCTACAAAATCTTATGTCGCCTCGGCTCTGAAGTTGTGACAGAAAATGGATAGAGGCCGGAGAAGGAAGGGACTTCAAGTGCCGATATACGGTATGCACCTGGATAAACGAAATTAATTCAAGAATTCTGGTCGCCCATACCATACGTAATGCCAGACATTGTAGCTAACCGCTTAGGAAGTAAAAGGATAAAGCATTTGCCGTTGATCAATCCCTTTTTGGGATGCGGCACGCATTCTACTTCCATTTGTACATTCGTAGTGGCGTTTGAATGCGATGTGGCCTATACAATGACTTGCGGGGCCAGCCGATGTACAAGTCAGTGTTTTTCCTCCCAGACAAGTCTGGTACCAATTAACCGACCCCGGAGGGATGGAAGGCTTGGTTGGCCCGGGCGACTCACGACCCAGGATTTGATCCCCGGACCGCTCGCGTGGTAAGCGTGCCACTTGCCACTACACCACTTCCGCCCGCTTAAGAAATAACCGCCACTAAATGTCAACGCGTTGAGGCCCTTCCATCTCTCGCTACGATGCTTTAAATACTCAAACAACGGTACGGATTATAATTGTTTTTATCTCTATCCCTGCAGGCAGCAGCAGGGGCAGAAACTCACATTTCAGTTTACTATGCTACTTACTATCTAATACCTTAAATAACAATGTTTGATTACTAACAGCAGAATCATCTAGTGCCGGAAGCCTACCTTATCCAGTTCCACCTTTGCGGATTTTCTTGGCGAAATTGGACGAAAACCTGCTTAATGGCTTTGTTTGCCGATAAAGCATAAGGAACTAGGTCATGCTCGTCTTTGATTGAAGGATCACAGCCAGCCTCCAGTAGATACTAAACATAACCGAATCGTAAAACTGTGAGTAAATGTTCAATATTGGCATTGTTTACGGAAAGAATGAAAAACCTCTGCACAATATTTAGCTATCCTGTATTCACTTCAACATTCTTTATTATTTAAATGAGACTACTGACAAGCTCACAGTCGTGATTTCGATGAAAAACTTCACCTACGCGAATTTGTAGGATGAGAATTTATCCAGCGATAGGTGGGTGAATCTTACCGTTGCACACACATACTACAGCACCTTAGCAGATTAAGATGCTGATGTTTAAAGACAACAACTGCGAAGTGGTTTGAAAGGGACGTGGGAGTGCTAAATGGTACGCCAGCAGCGAAAAAACAGAGAAATAGTCAAGAACGCAAACGGGACCTTCTTGTTTAGCCTTTGAATGTCGCTCATGTCAGCTAACATAAGACAGCTGCCGTATGAACGATTTTACCGCAACGCGTTTAATGGCGCCATACCATTGCATACTCCAATCGAGTTGCTCCAGTTTGTCGCTAATGGCAACACAGCAAATATCCCAAATCACCAAATAAACTAGTGGGTGGAGCGCTTTTGGGGCGGAGCGCTTTCGAAGTCCTGCTCAGCAACCAGCGCACCTTTCGTCGTGAAAGCTACACCTCGCTTCCTTGGCAGCCAAGCTACTTCTTCGTGTGATGCTACTTCTCCAATGCGTCCATCTTTGGTTTAGTCGCTTCTTCGAACTAAAATCTCCAGCCAGTGAGTAAAATCACTCGAAGGAGCGAAACAAAGTTGAGAGCAGCATGACTGACCACGTGGACGGTTGCTTTTCATGATAAGCAAGGTGCAGAGAAAAGTAGAGTAGAGAAAAATTTCATAGGTTAGTCAATGACAGACCCGATTACGGCAAAGTAAATCAAAAATTCGCATGAGTCAAAATGAAAAAAGAATATGTACGCTCATAAGAAGACTCTTGAAAGTTGTAAGAAATTACCTCCCATAAGCCATGACAATGAGAAGATTCGGGAGGCTCCCCGCCTTCCGTTTTCATAATATAATTTACCTGCACAATCCTATCAGCTCCACTGCGCGCTGCCAGGTGGAGGAATGTCCCACTATCCGAGGAAAATCGATTGCAGTTGAGGTAGTCAACAATCTCAAAATTCCCATTTGTAATGAAAAGAATGCGAGAAAAGCTTGGTTTTGTTCCCACAAAAAAAAACACCTAGCACAATTCTCACTTCTTTTTGCTCCTCTGCATCACGCCCACATATCAGCGTCTTGAGCGCGTCTTCTCTGTTTTCCTTAACCATGGAATAAAGTTCTCTTCGAGTTGTTCTATTCAACGATGGCCATCGGTCAACTTCGGGTTGTTGTTCCTCCATTGGTGCCACTGGTTTCAAGTGATCCGTCTGGAACGCTGATTTACCAAGCACGAAATAAATGAACAATGGTGGTATCCAATGATTATTCTACCAAGTAAATAAGGGCCCACTTTTCTTTCTTTAGACGATGACTTTTCCTTCTCATCAGCACCCAGAGTCCATTGCGTTTCAACTCGCTTCTTTTTCAGTAAAGTCTTCGCTCTTTGTTTCCGCTTCGTCCTTTCTGCAAGAAAGTCTCTCATCTGTCCATGGCACGTGACCGATCCCAGTCGTTCCCAAGTTCTTCGTACTTCGTCCACAAGTGGGCGCTTTGTCTCAAAGGGAATCGTTCTAGAAGCAACACGATCAAACACGCCGATACCAGCCGATGCGGGTCTGGTCAATCATGCAACCGTATCATTTGGACAACATCATAAAAATTTAGCGCTCGTACCTCAACCTCGGATCTTTTCTATCAAATCCACTCTCGTCAACATCGTGAAATATCACACGCTGGTAACTGGCGCATCGAATAAATATTAACGGCGTAGCTGCAAGAAGCTCAGACCACGTTTGTAACACTTTGACGATATCCTCAGCCAGGGCACGCTCATTGTATCTGGAATACATTATGATTTTTTTCTACCCACAATCATGAATACCTTAGCGGAATACTGCTGTTAAACTGTAAACTACTACTGTAAAATAACTAAAACAACTAAATATTCGTTTGAGGCTAGGACAAGTAAAGAAAGAGACCATTTATGGAGTTTCCCTTCAACATGTTCACAAACGTAACGCCCTGCTGTGTTCTCACTCCTCAAATCGAACTTACTGGAAGGCCACGGGGCATGATTTGATAAAAAAAAATACGAACAAACCGTAATTTCTTGGTGGATGATTTCCCGGCTAGTTATAATGCGTTGTATACAGTACCCTATTCCAATTTCCTCAGCCCTTCGACCCCATAGATTGGAACCCTAGTTCAAATCCAAATTTTCTATGGAATGAGATGACTTTCTTCGAACCTCATATGCTAACCGTATACATAACACTGTGAACGCTGGTAGATCCTCTGTCACGATTCACTGACAATGAATTTGTTCGAACCTAGTCCTCCCGTTTCCATGAAGTTATGATTTATGGGAAGCGCAAATTCAAGCCCAAGTGATATCGTAGATACAGCACCGGGCAATCTCATAAGATTGAAAAGGAATATGAGCCCCTAGCAAAAATGCATTAGATTACTCGATACTTAAAAGCGTTCACCTGCGCAAAGTAGCACCAGCAGAGTGTATCGTTCCTTTTTCTTTGTCTTTGGCTCCTTGAGCTCCGCCCTGTTTAGCTCGAACAACATAGCGATGAAACGATTTATGTGCCACAAGCTTGTCACTGAAACATTTCTCATTAACATTGAGCAGTTGGAACAGTGAACCTAAAAAAAGTAACGTAATATTGCAATCACTGTTCAGAATTGAAAAAAAAGAAAAGGAGCTCAGATGAGTGATAAGGACTCACTTTTTGAAAACTCCAGCGGCAAAGTGGCCACCGGCTAAAAGGAATATAGCACAATCTAACGGCCTAGCAAAAATTGCTGGCAATACAGTGGACTCTCCATGGCGAAGAAGACAACTAAAACAAAATGAAGCCTAAAAAGCTTAACATGTTCGCAGACCAAAATTTCCCTTGATATGCGCCACCCATTCTTCTTCCATTCCAAATAACAGCGGTGTTTCGGATGGGGTTCGATCTCTACAATGAACTGCGGGATCAGCCGTTCACGAGATTGTTTTCACCCGCCTAGACAAGTCTGTCACCAACTAACCGACTCGGGCAAGATGGAGGGCTCGTTTGCTCGGATGAGCTGGAGCGTGCGATCTGAGATTTTAATCTGGACTAGTGCGCATGGTGAGCAGTGCCACTTGTCACTTTACTACTGCCACCCAACAATGGGAAGTATTGAAAAAAAGCCTTTCCACGAACCGCAGAAATGCAAGGAAAAGTATGGACTATCGCAGGATACATAATTCTCACAAACTCACCGATACATTGAAAACACCTCGTCATTGTGAACAAAGTAAATGTGACTGGAGCCAAGTTTCATCGGTAATTCTTCAACGTCCGAATCATCAGAATCCGATGACGATGACGGCGCTCCATCGCCAACTGAAAGACGCTTCACAGCGCTCGTCAACGATGAATGAATGTGTAAAAATGTGGCACATATGGCGATATGCCGGAATCCAGCGAATTGCGCATAAATAATTCAAGCTGATCGATCAAGGAAAAAACGAAAAACACAATTCGAAAAGAAAAGAAAGTACTGTTCCTCACAGTGGGAGCACAATCCATAGCTGAGATTTTCAAATTCAGAATTGATTTTCCATCCAAGGAAATGCGTGATGTTCAACTAGAGCGTCAATCTCCACGTTACTCACCTTTTCTTTCTTCCTCTCCTAACATCTCAAACTGGTCCTCAGTTAACGCTTGGCGTCCCCTGAGCAGATTCCGTGCATTGAAACTAAAACATGACGTCCTTAGCACAAAAAAGTTGGAATAAGCACAAAGTTTCCATATTCAAAAACTGGTAACATTCGAACTCTCAGATAGAAATTTGTGCACACTGTTTCCTTGAATGTACACCAAGGGAGCCCTAGTTTAACGCCAAAGTTTAAAATCATAAGGAAGATACTAAACAGAAGACACGAACCGATGCCACTGGCTGCGATAATGAGTGATTATAGCGTCCCGATCATCGCCTTCTATCGACCAGTCGCATGAATTGCATCTATGTCCCTCATCTAAAAAATTCTCCGTAAAGTAGCAGGTCAAGGGTAGGTAACGAATTCAGTACAGCAAACAATAAACGTGCCTGGTTTACACACTCACCAAGTCCTGCAAAGGGATCAAATTCCTCGTAAACTTTTGGGTCATCATTCAATCCCTGCTGGTCGGCTGTTTCTTCGTCATGAACAGTTCCTGCACACAATTCTTCTACAACTCCAGTTTGCCATCGCACATCGTGCAGTGAAATAGACACCTGATGTCAGAATTACAGATTTATTACAAATTTATTCTTGTCGCTTTTCAGACGACCACATTATAGAAAGTCACTACTGATTGTGTCTCATTAAACCAGCGCAAGTGAAAGGTACCGCTCCTTAGATTCAAAACTACCGGTTCCGTTGACAAGCAAACGAGAAACGACGACGAGCACCAAACTAGAAATCAGTATCTACAATCGCAAACATATTGGCCATTATGACGCACATCAGCCTATGTCGCACAACCTCATTTCATAGCAATGTACACAGATAGAGAAATTTACACTAAATATATGGAAAACATAATGCACTTCAAAAGCATCTTAGACCAAACAAAATGAATAATAGCTCACAAAAAACCAGGGAAAATTTTTTAATTTACAATATTGAAAATAGAGAATACAACGCAATAGGAAAGGTTCTGAATTCTAGAGGAAATCACAAAAATAACAACAGAAATTACATAGGTAGACGATGAAACTCGCACCATTTGAAGTCTGTTCGTGAGCCTGAGGTACTTGCACATCGCTATCAAATTAATCTTGTTCTCTCACACGCAGGTTTTTCTAACTACTACAACTTCCATTTTTAGAAATATCATTATCAGAAATATCATTCAAGTAACGGCGAAAAAATACTGGAAACTAAAGGAGCACTGTCAAAAAAGAACCCAGTTTCCTCCACGTGACTTCTGGAAAATTGATGTGGACATACTACTAAACCGGTCTCATCAAGCAGGGGATGTTTCTACAGGAAGTAAAGTGCAGGTCCCAAGGAGTAGTTAACTCATGGTTTTCAGATATGATATATCACCCTGGGCACAAGAACAGACGAAGATTAAGTGAAAGACTGATTAAATTGCGCATAACATTTTAAATACAACCAGGTAAGAGAATAGTTCTCCTCATGCATTTCATGAGATCGCTGGCCTTTGTGGGCAGTCAGTTTCACAGCATTTCGACCCCGTCATAGAATTCATCACTGCTAGTGGGCGCTACGTGGTCGTAACGGGTAGTGCGTTGCAGCACCAGCGATAACCTCTAGCCATGCATTAAGATCCTCGGTGCTTGAAGCACAGATCCGATACACAGTATGCCGACCTTCAACCATCTTACCCGTCTGCTCCGTTTTGCAAGCTTTTATTCGACCATCTTCAGATAATGAGAATATCTAAATGCATACAATTTTGACAGTAATTGAAATGATATCCCCAAAGAATTCCTTAAATCACGAAATTCAGCTGCTGCAGCCATTCATCCCTGCCATCTCGTTATTTGTCACCTTACACTCCCATTAATTACACAAAGACCAATAGTTCCTACAAGCATTTATTCTGATGCTGCTGTGTAATGCCTTCACACATTCGGGAGAACATGTGCAGCAACCGCTCGTATCGCCCAAAGTATCCACATCGAATTGTAAGGATGCTCTGGGATGGCTGCGAAAGCACAAACGAATTAACTCACTCCGGGTGTCCCCTATTGCAAAATACTGGAAATTTTGTAGGTGGCAGCAACTGTCGTATCACACGCCCCTCTCCCCTTACTGGATACGACACTAATTTTCTCCTTGCCACAGCACCACACAGCTTCCAATAATTGGCCGTTGAGTAGTGATAGATCATTGATAGTGAATAGAACTGCTCCGACCACATATGATTATCGAAGCAGAATTTTGTTTCGTTAGCATCGGACAAAACAAAGCACTGATCATAATATTTAGGTAATAAATATGTGTTTTACTGGAGTGTAACCTAACCACTATGTTTTTCCTAACTACCTCATCTCGTCAAGGTAAAATAAGATTTCAAGACACCCGGAACTGTATCGATGTTTGACAAAAATAGTAACACAATAACGAGAATGAACGAGCCAAATCCAAAACCATCAGACTCACTTCAAACATGAATGGACGAGAAGCTGACTCCACTCGTCGTACCCCAACATTTTGCAGAGGAATGATGCCACGGGGCTCCTTGTCCGCAGTATGATCAAAATAATATAGGCATGAATCGCTGAGGACAAACCTAGACAAACATCATTTCAAGCAAGCAAAAAATAAACAAGAACTCAGACATAATAAGCACCTCAGTCCCGACTTTTTTATCTTGATAAAAGTCAAATTTGTCAATCGTGGTACTTACTAATGTACTTTTATAAAAAAATAAGTTGTTTTTTTTACCAGGATAAGAAATAATCAAATACACACCATCTGCGCTTCCATGACAACGGCCCAGATATAAACTGACTGCTACTTTGCTTATACAACCAGCCTTCCCTATCAGGATGCAGGAATACATTATCCAATCGAGCCGCATCATCACACGGTATTTGAAATTCCCGAGATCGGATGGAATCAAATATCTGCGAGAGAGTTGCTGTGCTAACAGATCCAGCCTCCAATAATTCCTTAAAGTTGTAAGCAACATTACGTGAAAGTAAGCGTTATGATCGAAGATGTTCAAGAATGAACTGTTCTGATGACAAGGCAACCATAAAAATCTATTGGAAAGCAAATACCGTGTTACAAGTGAAACCAATCAGTAGCACATAATTTGGATAGAAAAGAAGCTACTGCAAACCTTGTTCATGCTTTGGTAGCGTTCAAATGTCGGTCGATCCTTCACATTTGGATTGTGCAACAAAGTGTTGAGCATAATACACGAATAAGCAATTGTGAAACATGTGTCAGCATTGTCGAATACACCTTAAAGCATATCTTCGAGCGACATGACCATAAATCTTGATATGCATAAAAATCATTCTGTGTATTCAACTCATCTGAAGTTATAGGATAACCATTCATTCAAAAGGTAGAGATAGTATGCAATGACCACATTTACAATGATAAAAAATATTAGTAGCAGTAACAATAAAGTGACGGCAATGCCCACCGCAATAAGATTACTGATACAAACCAGCTGTTTGCACTTGAACTCTTGGTCTCCCAAACCAGTACAAGTGAAGTTTCCCGCGTATAAAGTGATGTCGTGAAAAAAAATTATGTTCACCTTCCCATGACCAGCATAGGTGAGAACCTCCCCTGAATGAAATCCTTTGCGAAGGACACACTATCCGGGTTACGGATATTATAACACCAGTTTGGCTGCGCACGCATTCGCGTGCATCACACGGGGGTTCAAACAGGATGATCACTATTCTTTTCTAGATTTTAGTTTTCTGTTCGGTACATCCCATTTACACCGACTATTAGGTCAAACTATATTTTCTATTTCCTACACCGCATTGAGCTACGTGTTTCAGACAGAATCGATCAGTACCCAATCTCTAGGTGCGAACGAAAACAACAATTCCAAGCGACGGCGGTTTTGGAGAGGGTCTTTTTTCGGGGCATGGTATATTTTTCAATTTTTGAGGTTTTCTAGTTGAGAAATTCTGTCTGTGGGCAATGTTGCCTCTCATTTACTGCAGAACTGCTGAGTAAGATTCCAAGGGACGACGGTTTCGGAGAGGGTCTTT